TGTCTTAAAAGTGTCTTCTGTCTTTCCACCCATTCTTCTTCACTTCCCTGTCCAGTGTTTTATACGTTGTGTTCAGTTCTTCTTTTTGTTGTTCATCCTTGCACCGGTTTGTCTTCTGCTTCACCATCTTCCTCTCCCTCCTCTATCAACTTCCATGTGTCCATCGAGATCCATTCTTTGTCTTCTTTCCTAATACGGTTATGCAGGTTTCTTTCCACATCTCTTTCAAAGAGTCCCAGTGCTTCTCCACTCAGGTTTTTTCATGGATGTTGCTCAGTATGTCCCACTTTGTCCTGATGACTGACGTGAAGATATCCTTTGTAATTTCGTCTTTCAGTTCAGTTTCTGTTCTGGGTGTTGAACTTGAACTGTTATCTATCACCAACTTCCTTGAAGGCTTTCAACTTGGTTTTGAAGTTGGGTTCCTTGCACTGGATAGCGGTGTGAAGCTACATCTGCTCACCTTCTGCATCTCGTGTCCAGTAGCCTGCGTCTCCACTTTCTTGAGATTGAGATGAAGTCGATCTGGTTTTTAGTGTGTCCGTCTGGTGGAATCAAATCTATGTCGCTGCCTTGTGAATATCCTTAAAAGTGTTTGTACACACTGCCTGCAATCACCAAATGGTTGAATGTGCAGAAATCTGCAAACAGTTCTCTATTCTCATTCATTCCAGCGAGTGTTTCTCAACCCATGATAAGTTCCCTTCCTGTGTTGTCCTCTCCCAGTTTGGCATTCATGTTACCCAACCCATTAGGATTTTGGTGCTGCCAACCGGGGTGTGGTCTTGTCCAGTACTGAATGCAGTTGTCTGTAGAATTCCTCCTTCTTCTCTTCATCTGCCTAGTTATTTGTAGGTGCATAGCGTAGCCTCGTATGGTTGTAACTTTTCTTCCTTTTGGTTTGAATTTTGCTGTCATGATCCTGGGGGAGATTGATTCCCATTGCTTGAGAGCCTTTGATGTTCTTGGGGACATCATGATGGTCAATCGAGAACCCAGCGTGCTCGTGGTTGTTGTTTTGGGTGACAATATGGGAGTAGACTATTGACCCTTCAGTTGACAGTTTGGAGAGTCCACTTCCACTCCATCTGCACATTCCTCGCAGATTTCTAGCATTTCTATGCCATATCTTCTCATCTCTTTTGCAATCTAGGCAGCCTTGCCAGCCAGCTTCAAACATTGTTCGGACATTCTGTGTCTCCATTCTTACTTTTGCTTTCATCGAGAGAAGATACACCGGACGACTGGCTTCCATTAACTGGCGTCACTTAGCCTCGCGGATTCCAGCGAGGAATAAGTTTAGTTTTTTAAATTTTCTTTCTGCCTTGAAGTTTCTGTAGCAGTTGAATTGTTTTTAAGGGGTTGGGTTGCTAGCCCTATGCCCAATCTTCCGTGTTTATCCGGGCTTAGGACCGGCTAGTTACTAGTGAACTAGTTACCTAGGCGAGAAGTCTTCTTGTGATAACCACAGAGGAATCAGCCTGACGAACATAGTATTTAAAATTCTGGGTTCTTTAATTCTTCGACGCCTGAGTGGAGCTCGGGAACACCAAGCCTGAGAAAACCAGGCAGGCTTTAGACCTAGCCGTGGGTGTATCGACCAAATATTCACACTGCACCAGGCTCTGGAACACAGGCACGCATACCGACGACCGACAATAGCTGTATTTCTCGACCTGAATGCGGCATTCGACTCTCTTGATCGAGATGTCTTATGGCAATGTCTCACTGAAAGGCGCGCTAAGTAAGTACATAACCTCATTGAAGCCTCTCCACTCGAACACTTGAGGGCATGTTAGAGCCTATGGTGAGATGTCCGGGTAGATGTGCTCGTCGAGTGGTGTCCGTCAAGGATGCCCACTCTCTCCATTCTTATTCACTTTTATCATAATTATTCTCATGGAGGTCTCTCTCTCTCTCTCTCGTCACCTGACTACACAGAAGTTGAACTAATCGCAGGAGAATTTTCACTAGACCTAGAATACACAGATGACATAGTCCTGTTACGTTAAGCTGCTGACAAGATGCAGAGTCTTCTCAAAACTTCGAGTGGCAATTTGAGAATGTCTGGGATGCGTTTCTCACCACCTAAATCCAAATTGTTGCTCTAGGATTGGTCTTCAACGGTGACCCACCACGGTTAACCATAGAGAGTGTAGTGGTCGAGTGTGTTGACCACTTCACTTACCTGGGATAAAGGAGCAGCCCTGGTGGCTGGCTCAGTGGCCGGTGAAATCTCTGCATGAATACAGAAGACTTGCTTGGCTTTTGCCTACTTACGCCACCTGTAGCGTCGCCGTGATATACGATTGTCTATTTCGGGTCGCGTGTACTGCACAGCAGTTCTCTCTGTTCTACTGTATCGCTGCGAAACATGGCCATTGAAGGTGGAAGACATGAGGAGGCTTCCTCATGTCTTTGACCACCCTTGCCTTCGTAGTATACGCCGTATTACGTGATGTCACCACGTGAGTAACGTAGAAGTCACGCTCACGTGTAGAGTTCCAGGGAGAAGAGGTAAGTCAGTTGGCGAGGTTGTGAGCCTTCATCGACTGAGATGGTTGGGACACGTACTACGTATGCCTAGTCACCGATTGCCTTGTCACACAATGTTGGCCGAAGTAGGTTCAGGCTGGAAAACGTCTCGAGACGGCCAGACTGAAACATGGCATCAGTGTATGAAGTCCGTGACTTAAGCCATGTGGCTTAAGCCGTGTGGGGCGATGCAGACTAGCCGGATGGGATCCACAGGACAAGAGAAACCAGTGGCTGGTAGAAGACTGACTCTGGGTGATATGGCTCAGAACCGGTCAGTGGCGCAGATGTATACACGTACACACATTGTCCTCATCTTAACGCTATACCGAATATCACCATTTTCTCATCCTTCCTTACTCTCTTTTAGTACTCTATATTTCTCTTGACTGAATTTTCTTTCCTTCATCTTCCACTTCACTGCATTTGTACTTGATGTACTGATATGAGCTGTGGCAATCCGCACTGATCCTATGTTGATTTTGATGAATGAACCGACTTTCGTATCAGTCTTTTTCTTTTCTCTTGTTCTTTGTGTACATCTTTGAATTATGGAAACTTGAGCTGTTGCAGCTGTGTTAGGTTCTACGTTGATTTCGTCAGTCAGGTGTGTGTTTATCATGAAGTTGAAGAAGAACGGTGACAGCTGACCTGTCTGTCAGAGGAAGACGGTTGTTGTCACTTAGAATTATTCAGAGGTTCGATGCAGTGGATAATGCAATATGACACCCAAAATTTGGGTGTTTTATCCGCAGCGGTTTTGTCATTATCAATGTTTTTGAAGGCGAAAACACGTTCATTATCATCAAGCTAACTTTTGAAGTTATTTATTTTACAATAGAAAGAAAATGCAACCAAATAACTCTTTGAGGCGTGTCTTTTGGTAGAACGGATGTTTACGAAGCCAATTATACATGGTGATGCACTCAGATGAATATTTGAAATGCAATGGCAGCAAGTCAGCGTCTTGTGTCAAGAGTCGCTTATAAACAATATTCGCAGTTGCCAAGACTCATTGCAACACTTAACAACGATGAAAGTCAGAAGAAAACCACCATAACAAAGTGTTCAAAGTGACGAAATAGCGATGAACAGAACAGAAGTCAGAAAGCTTATGTCAACAAACGGAACGGATCACTTGAACTAAACGTTCCTAAGAAACTGTCATTGGATTACTTCATTCCTTCGGAAACTTCGTGACACAGAAAGTAAGCTCCTGCAGAACATCTTACGGCCAAAGAAGACCTGACAAAGTAATCTTCAAAACTAGCTTCAAACACCGTCAACACCACTATGTTGATCAGTCCGGTCTTCAAATAGCTGCAGAAATTATGAGCTTCAAATAGCAGTCAAACGATATATGTCACCATTGATATCGATGCATATAGATGAGCACAACCACGGTTACTATTGGGACCGTTTAAAAATACTACTACATTCAAGCTTTAAAACTGCACGAAAATTCCTGGAAGCCTGATAATCTAATAAAATGGTAATAAGCAGACACGTGAACGTTGACCAGATATACGGACTACTAAGGAGGGGTCGGCTAAATAGACATCAATCACGCAAACAAAAAGTCAAAAATAAGGTCAGCAGCATCGCTCAAATGGTTACAATACTTATCAAGGTTAGCTTTTGGGAGAAGAGGTAAGAATCAACCCTACACACAATCCAGTAGCGCTCAACATCAATAGACATCATAAACATTGATGCAACTTGAAAATGCTTCACTTCCTTCGAAATAAATGCTGACGAACTCGCACGACCTGGGGATAAAACATCCAAAGACAGACATAAGAGCTCGGAGAAGAGCAAACCCTCACCATTCTCAAGTTAAAAAGAACAAGAAAGACATTGCCATTACCGCATGGTAGTTGTATCCATTTTGCGAAATGAACATAAGGATCCAGACGTCTTTTCAAACGGCGTTTTTGCATGTAAAAATGTCAGCAGCAGTTACTTGGCCTCACGAACTTAATTTAATACAGACTTCTTTTTGTTTGGGAACATTCTATCAAAGTAATCCTAGATCGCTGTTAATTGTACCAAGAATGTATGTATCGTTCTCACAGCTTACTATCACATTCTATCTATCGCGAACGATTTTCACGACAAACTCGTAACATGTGATTAAAAGCTTCTTATATTTGTTCGGACTCACTGACAATGCTTTAATTGATTAATTTCTTCACAGTTAACTCAGTGTCATAATTTCAGACTCTCCCCACCCACACACATACCATACCTACTAGGGTTTGGACAACCAAATAGTAGTAGCCTTCACACAATAGGTTTGTCTTTAAGCCTGGTGAATCGATAAAAGTGTGGTCTATAGGAAAGTTTAATTAATCCAGTCTTCCCATCATAATCTATTGCTTGTCGTAAGAATGTGTGTTTGGTTAAATTATCCACGACGTAATCCTATTTTTCATCTTTATTTTCACTTATACGCACTTATTCAGTTGTTGGCTGAAGATATTCGTAAAGAACGCAATCAACTTATGCAATGTATTCGATATATTGTGAACGAGAATTATTTTCAAGAATAGTAATCATCCAATGAACCTGTGATATAAGTTCAAGAAACGAACGAATAAATCAAGAAGTCTTGTGTATACTCTCAGCATTATCACATTTGTATATTGTATAAAGAAGGTATTCTGTGTACATCTTCTTCTTTCAATTTCAACAAAATCAGTATTTCCGATAGGGTGTCCATTCAGGATCTTTGAAATTAATATAGACCGGCGTTTTTCGTGGACGACCGCGTTTACGTCTTACAGTAGTCGGAATAATATTTTTTAATTGTTTAGGCCAAACGGAAGCTTCTTGATGAGGATGCGGGACCACAGGATTAAATCTGTGATATTTACGTCGTGTTTTTCGTTTGTTTGCTTGACGCTCAGATGCTGCAGACAGTGATTGGACTGATATTTTTTCTCCGCATTGACTAGATAACTGGAACTTCGAGTTATTTTGATCAGTCGATTCTTCTTCTGTTGCATGAATTGATTCGGCTGTTCGTGAATCACTAACAACTTTCGGTGAATAGACACTATGCCACCACCGAAAGCATTGTGCTGAACAAATACGAGGGAAACCCGGACAGGCTGCGCACACCATAGTGATTGTCACACCACTTTGCACTTGGTTTCTTAATTGACAAGCTCTACAGTGAGAACTGTCATTAGTCGGACTACTTTCAACGCCATCAGGGAAAATATCTTCATATAGTGATTCTATAGAGACCAACCTGTGTTTTTCAGTTGATGATGTACATGCTTGTTTGGAGGGATTTGCTACAAAGACGTCGAATATATTATTCACTTGACTGTTAGGAGGCTCTGTATTCCTCACTTCTTCGTTTGTATTCTTTGTGTTACATGATAATGCACCAACATGACTATTGCCACTTTTTGCCTCGTTATTCTCATCTGGAGCAATATTTTCTAGAAAAAAAGGTGAAATATATAGTAGTTGGATTTAGTTATTCTCGCAATAACAAGATTAAAAAATTCAGTGTATTTTTCCGCTTCAAATACATAGTGTTGCCTGTAGCTGTTATATGTGAATAGAGCCAACCATCATGTCTTAAATAACATCATGTAATTTTGTGCTTGGTTCCTGGTAATAAAGTGGTTTATTCATCATTGGTCTTGCATTTACCTATGCTTTTTATTGTTTCCGAATAACATTTTTGTTATCCGGTGAAGACTCTTATGGAGAGGGGTTACAGCACAAGGTACTACTACAAGTTTTGAAGACTGGAGTCGTCAGCATCCATCCGAGTCTAGTTAAATGTTAAATATTGTACGGAATCTCTACAAAAAAAAAGACAAAGATCGGCATACAATCTGATACAGAAGTTTATCGGTTCGAGTTCTCACAATTCACAACATGCAAAAAGTGGATAGAAAATGTGATATAAAGTAGACAAACATGTTTAAGAGGAAAGAGAACAACTGGATGAAGATTAACGGAATGTTAAAGACTTCAAAGATAACAATGAGCGTGTACATCTGGACTATAAGCATTGAGTCTCTAACTATTGATCCCTAATCGCGCAATCCACTCAGCTTAGACCAACAGATACACTTCGTAGACTAGCGTCACGTCCTGGTCCAACAAGCCTTAACCCTCTTTCAACGAAATCCTATTTCGGCTTAAGTTTGTATTCTGACAATGGACCGGCATGCGCAGTGCCCCAGCTACTTGCACTCTTTGTTTGGCATCATACACCTAACCTCGCCATCACTGACACAGTGAATTCATCACACCTGAGCAATGTTACGAAAACACTCGCGGTCGAAAACTTGTAACCATTTCGTATATTCTACTTTTAATGACCATTTCTCACAGGACACAGTAAGCTATTACACAGTATACTCGTCCTTTCATAAGTATCCAACTAGCTGCTGCATGATGGAAAATTGAAACAAACTTCTAGCACATCATGAAATTCTGATATAGACATATTCGCATATCTGGATTAACGCCTAATTAAACCTACGAGGTTGGGGTTGGATGAATGACTAGTTTTCAAACAGGAATGTTTGTTTGGTGAGATGATACATTAAAATAATTTCGGTAGCGAAAATGCTCAAACAGTTCTATCACTTTGATGTCTGTGATACGTTTGTGTCAAGTTGTATTATTTGCTATTATCTGGTACTCTGAATACAAGAATTGTTTAAGGATACCGGATTACGCTATTCTTCACATTTAGGCATCGCGTAAATAGCCCAGAAAGTGAATTTACCTTCACATATCATAAATCAACTACCTTAAGGTTAACTTTTTAATTCACTGAGTCCTCCTGCATTCTGACATTCGGGTAACAAAGAAAAGCGATATTTGAATCTAGATTCATGTCGAAGCACTCAGTCTCGCTACAACTAATTTTATGGCCGAAATTACTTATTGTGTACATAGCGCCCAATATAAACCAGAAGTCTGGTTCGACTGCGCTCAAGTTGCTGAAGTCAGATCTGCCCAACTGTTGTCAACGTCAATCATTATTATTTTTCCCTTGGGTTCCTAGTGGAACATAGGACTTCAGCAGCACGCCTCGATTGCACTCTTTTGAATCTGACTGCACGACTGTCCAAAAGCTCTCATTTCTTCCTCACATAATTCCCTCCATGTCACCCTCACCTGGGACACTCAACTCGCCCCTTCCCATTTCGCTTCCACTTCAGGGCCTGACGCGTGATGTCTCCAAATAGTCTTCTCACTGCATGCCCAATCCAATCCATCTAAACTTTCTTCTGCATATTTGTTGGGCGATGCGTTCTTGGTTGGTTCGTTCCCAGAGTTTCTTGTTGCTTATTCTTATTAATCTACCTATCTGAGCTTCAGTGTCGAGTGAGCGTAGGTAGGTGTTGATGAATGTCTGTAGTTTGTTGGAAATGCTTTTCATGACGCTCCAAGTTTCTGAACCATATAGCAGCACTGACTGGACGTTGGTGTTAAAAATCCGGACCTTGTTCACGCTTTGTGCTGAGTGCAGTAGATCTCCACACTGGTTTCAGATTAATACAGGAAGACTTGTCTTGCTGTCTTTCCTATCCTGGCTTTGACATCCTCATCTGTGCCACCTGTAGTTGGAACGATGCTGCCTATGTAGGTGAAAGGTACTACTTCCTTTAGATTTCTCCTGATCATGGTGATTGGTGCTTGTTGTTGTTGCGTATCTTCATCACCTTCGTCTTCACTTGAAGTCCCGTTTTCGCTGTCCTGTCTCTCCTGTCAACTTGTTGGTTTTCCGCTGTAGATCTTCGAGTTTGTGCGAAGAGACGTCAGACATAAATCATCATGGGCGGAATCCAAATCGTCTAGGGTCTTTTTATCGGTCTAGCGTATGCCCATCTTCTCGCTCCTCACGGTTTGCTGCATGGTCCAGTCGACCACAATCAGGAAGATCATAGGTGATAGTGGGTGGCAGCCTTGTCTTACTCCTGTCTTCACTTCACCTCATAGGCGTCACTGAGCTTTCCATTGTGAATCACTCGGCATGTAGCATCATATAGCTGCTGTTGAATGAGGTTGATAAGGATTTCTGGCTCTTGGTAGTGTTGAAGCAACTGCCAAATTACTCCTCGGTCGACGCTGTCGAAACTAGGTTGCGGTAGAGAGTTGACTGTTATTGTTTAACTGGCCTCCAACCACGATTGCATTGCCCGCTATCCAGTCGGATCCTGAATGAGACATAGAGACAGGCCCCCCAACACTAGAAGAAGTTGAGAAAGCGGTAGGTAACCTGAAACGGGGGAGGGCAGCAGGACCAGACGGACTACCTGCTGAGGTATACAAGAATGGTGGTAGAGTGCTCTTGGTCAGGTTAACGGAAGTGTTAGCCAGTATATGGGAATCAAATACGATCCCCTCTGACAGGTCCGAATCACTGATTATTCCAGTCTTCAAGAAAGGCGAGAAGTCCTCTTGTGATAACCACAGAGGAATCAGCCTGACGAACATAGTGTCTAAGATCCTAGGTTCTATAATTCTCCGACGCCTGAGTGGAGCTCGGGAACACCAAGCCCGAGAAAACCAGGCAGGCTTTAGACCTGGCCGTGGGTGTATCGACCAAATATTCACACTGCACCAGGTCCTGGAACATAGGCATGCTTACCGACGCCCGACAATAGCTGTATTTCTCGACCTGAAGGCGGCATTTGACTCCGTTGATCGAGAAGTCTTATGGCAATGTCTGTCACTGAAAGGCGTGCCTAGTAAGTAAATCACCTTATTGAAAGCTCTCTACTCGAACACTTGTGGGCATGTTAGAGCCTATGGCGAGTTGTCCAGGGAGCTATACTCATCAAGTGGTGTCCGTCAAGGATGCCCACTATCCCCATTCTTATTTAGTTTTATCATAGATATTCTAATGGAGGTTTCCCTCTCGTCTCCTAATTACACAAACGTTGACCCAATCACAGGTGAATTTTCTTTAGATCTAGAATATGCAGATGACATAGTCCTGTTAGGTGAAGACGTTGACAAGACGCAGAGTCTTCTGAACACTTTGAGTGGGAATTTGAGAATGTTTGGGATGCGATTTTCACCACCCAAATGCAAATTTTTGCTTCAGGATTAATCTTCAGCGGTACCGCGGCTAACAATAGAGAGTGAAGTGGTTGAGTGTGCTGACCACTTCACTTACCTGGGAAGTAGGATCAACCCCGGTGGGTTAGTTGCCGATGAGATTTCTGCACGGATACAAAAGGCTCGATTGGCTTTTGCCAATTTGCGCCACCTATGGCGCCGCCATGATATTCGTTTGTCTATTAAAGGTCGTGTGTACTGCACAGCAGTCCGGTCTGTTCTACTGTATGGCTGTGAAACATGGCCAGTGAAAGTGGAAGATATAAAAAGGCTTTAGGTGTTTGACCACCCTTGCCTTCATAGTATAGGATGTATTCCGTGGTGTCACCACGTGAGTAATGCAGAAGTCAGGTGTAGAGTTTTATGGAGAAGAGGTAAGTCAGTTGATGAGGTTATGAACCTTCATCGACTGAGATGGTCGGGACAGGTACTACGTATGTCTAGTCACCGATTGCCTCGTCACACAATGTTGGCTGAGGTGGGTCTAGGCTGGAAAAAGGCCCGAGGTGGCCAGACTAAAACATGGCACCAATGCATGAAGTCTCTGACTGTTGGTTTGAGCCATGTAGGACGATGCAGACTAGGTGGTTGGGGTTCGCGGGATAAGAGGAACCAGTGGTTGGAGACCCTAGGTGATATGGCTCAGAACCGAAGTCAGTGGCGCAGATGTATACACGTACACACATTATCCTCATCTTAACAACGCTATACCGAATCTCACAATTTTGTCACTCCTCTTTCCTTTCTTCTCGTACTTTATATTTCTTTTGACTGCATTCACTTATCTTCATCCTTCACCTCACTACCCTTCTACTTGATGAACTGACGTGAGGTGTGGCAACTCGGACTTACGGCCAGTCGACGAAGTCGCTAATTGATGGCCTGAGGTGTGTGGGAAGATGTAAACTGCCAGGTTTGGGGCTCCTAGAGGCAAGGAATCAGTGAGTGGTTGAGGACTGAAGTTGGCGTGTCTGAAAATCGATCGAAATAGCGTAGATATATTGATTCCTCGACGTCTTCTAGAGCTTGAATATTTTTACTAACCGTTATCTTCAGATTGTTTATTCTCGCACCCTACTTTACCGAATTTCGGAACAGAAGACTATCACTCATCCAGAAGAAGCTTGGTGCCATCTCCAGTCTGCTGTAAAAGTAGCGCTGAAGACCGTAGCCGACTTCGAAAGAGTGGCTACAAAGAGCCAAGAGATATCAGCTTCTTCCGAACTAATGGATGCGTGTGAACGCATCCCTGCAGACTCTGAGCACAATGAAGAGCTAAAAGTCTACGCAACGATGGAAAAGGCAGTGGCGATTGGTAGCAGTAGACAGTTATTTAAACTTATTA